CTAACCTGACCTACAGTGAGCTAAGGGCCATAGTCCAGGAAGCTTGGGAGACTGTAGTTACGCCAGAGAGGTTGGAAGATCTTATACAGTCCATGCCTGCTCGGATGGCTGCAGTTATTGCAGCAGATGGTGGTCACACAAAGTATTAGCAACTGAAAAAAATAGACTTGGTTTTTTTCCTATACAAAACGTTAGGAAATCTGACTGCCCAGCTTTGCCCAGGCTTCTACGCCGCACATGTCACTAGGTGGCGAATGTCAAATATTTACCCCTGATACCACAGTACTCATAAGGCCGCATAAGCCCGCTCAGCCACACTCGACATTGCTCTGCAAACGACTCCAAAAACCATCCCTCAGAGTACGAACGCAGGGAGAAGCGGCACACCTTCACCAGCGCAATATCCATTCCCTTTTCATTCCCTGTCACGGAACTAGTAGCTCTATCCTAGCCCCGACTGGAAGCTCAGTTCTTTGTTCACATCCGATACCATCACCGCGAACGCTTTCCGAAAATCGTACAGGAGAAACATCAGCCACGCCTTCTAGCGCCCACTCCAAGGATCTTTGGAAGGAGAACCTCCTGAACACTATCCACAATGGCAACCAAATACGTACGTTCTCCTCGCTGATACCCCTAGCTCCACCGACATATACTAACACCTGCGGCAGGACTCCAACGCAGCGCCGACGTACCCGCAATCCCCTCCGCCAGCAGCACACTCACCTTACAACAATCCCTCCGCCCCAGCTCCCTACTACAACAACCAGCCGCCCGCCAACGCTGACTACTACAACTCCACGCCTGCACCGCAGCAGGGATACTACTACCCTCAAGGAGGAGCCCAGCAATACGGACCACCGCAACCTCAGTACGGCCAGCAGCAGCAACCAATGCAATACCAGCAAGGTCCGCCACCTGGTGGATATATTGACGGAGATAGGGGCAGGAGAGGAGGCGGGGCGTCTGCTGGGATCTTAGGAGGTCTATTGGCGGGTTTGGCCTGTTGCTGCTGTTTGGATTGTTTGTTCTAGATGGCGGAGGAAGGAAGGGATGAGCGGTTGTGGCGGTTCTACCGGGGCTAGGAGGAGCAGAACGATACTACACGTTTCAAGTTCTCACTTTTCTTCCTTTTGTTGGTTCGGGGTATCGTGGGCGACTGAAGAGAATAAGGCGTCTACTTCGGGCTGATGCTCTGGTTTTCGGTCGTCGGAGCGAGGTTAGGAACTGTGGATTGTTTAGTGGGCAGCAGAGGTCCCGGATGTACCTAGGTAACTTCTGAACAGTCCCTCTCGTCTTATCAAGGTAGTTCTTCGATATTTCACCACGGTGGAAATATGGCTATGATCTTTTCCTAGAATCATACTCGCCATCAAGCGACCATTATCTGTGCCTCGTGCTACCAGGTTATTTTTGTATTGGCACAGCGTATGCATATACTTGCACGTTTCTAACACAATCCAAATCACAGTGGCTCGGTAATGTAAGAAGGCGTGGGATGTCTCGATATCATATTTTATGTCACAATGATTTCGCACGCACATGTGTTCTGAACGCTAGGAAACGACCTATACAAACCTTCATATTAGAGGCGGCGGAGGGGGGATTCGCGTCGGGGAGGGCATCGAGGTTCAATAGGCATCGGAGGACGTGGGAAAGGCTCTATGGGCATTCGATCGAGTAAAGTAAAGTACAAGGATGATAATTCCGCAAACCGACTCGCTCGACCGACGGATCGATAAAGGCATCGTCACCGATCGAATTGGTTATCGCCGATCGTCGTTCGTTTGTCTCCCATGTTCCGCATCGATCGTGCTGCCTGCTGAATTAAGCTGAAACCTAGTCGCAATCTCGCCGCCATCGAAAAGGAAAGGAAGACCGAACCCATGGGAATGTCTCTCCACACCTGTGCAGCCGATTAATGCAAGACGGTCAGATGCACTGTCGACAGGACCGCCTGGCAATTGACGACGGGTCTACTCCGCCGTATCAAGGTCATCGTGGGCTCCTGCAGGAGGAGTCTCAACTTTGAGTTTGTCAGATGAGATCAGAGTGAAGTGAGAAATGGGCTGGCGCTTACCTTTGCGTTCTTCACCGTTTCCGGTACCGTTCTCGCGATCACGCTCACGCTCACGCTCACGGTCTCCACGGTCTCCGCGCTCGCGTTCACGGTCACGATCAGATTCCTCGCGGTCACGATCCTTCATCTCGCGGTCACGGTCATCGGGGCTTCGACTGCGGTCACGATCACGGCGGTCGTAGTCACGCTCACGACGGTCGTCCTTGCGCGGGGAGTAGTCGCCACGGCCACGACGAGGGGAGAGGCTACGACGCCTAGGAGAGCGGTCGCGTCCGCGAGGCGCGCCACGGTCACGGGCAGCGCCAGAGTCGAAACGCCAGGATGCTGAAGGAGGCGTACGGGCCCACTACGAATTGGTCAGTCTCATCATTCGTGTAGGTATTGTAGCAGACATACCTCGATCTTCAACAAGTCGTCACGACCGATGCGCTTGTTGTGCATCTCGTGATAGGCATCATCAGCATCGCGACGACTTTCATACTCGACAAAGGCGAAGCTAGAAACCGTCAATCTCTGCGTTGCTGAAGAAGCAGGAGAAAGGACCTACAGTCTGCTAGAGGCCGAGCGCGGAGCCGGAATATCGCACCGAACAAGGCGTCCATAGCTTGAAGTTATGTTAGCATGCCAGAAAAATGCAGTGAATTGTGCGCAGTGGGTAAGGTAGGATGCAGAATGGATGGTCGAGTCAAGGCAACGGCGAAGGCCGGAGGCAGGCCGAAGGCGGCTAGGGGAGCGGTCGGCGGCGAAGGAAGACTTCGACGGGGTATGGATACGAAAGCGAATATAGCGAAAGGCGACGTCGGTAAGGGATGACGGCCGAGATTGACGCGACGCACGAGACGACATACCGTTCGAATTCGTAGGCAAGGTCGCGGGCGCGGGTGCCGTGGCCGAAGCCGGTGACGTAGAGAGTCGTACCGCCACGAGACATAGCTGACGAGACGGGCAGTAGGACAAAGATGGGGGGTTCGACAGAGGAGATAACGCCGGTGGGGGTTGGGAAATGCCGTGGGAAGGAGAGGAAAAGTGGTGAAGATGGAGCTGAGGTCGAAGGCGAAAGAAATCAACCTTGGAAGAGCAAGGTTGCCAAGAGCGCCGCGTCTTATGTAAGCAGAGACGCGCCAAGAGCCATGGAGGAAACTGCGACCAAGCGCAACTTCAGCTTCATCCACAAGCTCCATCCTCACATCGCATACTGCCTATCGCCGCAACTCAAGATCGCATAAGTAACTGCGCCTACGGATTACAGCCAATTCCTTCCGCGCTTCTTCCCCCCAAGAGGAGAATCGACAAAGGAACGCGTCCTAAAGGCTTTCGCCACCACCTTTGTTTCTCAGACATTCTTTTCGATATTCGCTACAACTGTTTCCCCCACAACAGCGACACAACCATGTCGGTCGACTTCAGTATCGGGTCGCCTTTTGCGACCACATTGCAAGGGATTGTTCAGCCGAAACTAGCAGAATACGGTTGGACAACGGGAGATCCTGAGGACTCGACAATCTTCGAATACATCCTCTTAATGCTGGGCAACAACAAGGACGAGTCTCAAATTGCGTCAGAACTTTCGAATGACCTTCTCGATCTCGGACCCGAGAACCCGGAGACGCAGCAGTTCGCAAAGTGGCTGTTTGACCAAATTCGTCAACTGACAAACGGACCCGCTGATGCTCCTCAACCGGACGCCTCCCAGATGGAGGCTACAAGCACCGACGCGCCAACAGGAGGGCAAGACACAGAGATGGACGGCACCGGCGAGGCCAGTCAAAGCAGCATGTACGTGTTCGGCACCTATTTTTGCCCTACTTCTGCATGTTCCGTGTAAAGATTTGTAGCTAACTTCCTTGCAGTCCGACAGGCCCCAAAGCTATGCGCAACGGGAGCGGGGCAAAAATGCCCCGGGGTGGCCGCATGCTCAACAATATCAACAGACAGATGGGTCGCGATGACTCTGCTCTCCACCGCGTTCGAGGTTCGCAAGGTTCGGGCGGTCGCATCGATTCCCATGCCCGCGCACCACCCAAAGGGCCTCGATCGGACAATATAGGAAGAGGCGTCGCTGCATTGGCAAATGGTAGAGGCACCGGCAATGTTGGTGTTTCTATGGGTGGGCCAGGTATGAATATGAATGGCATGAACATGGGGGGCATGGGCATGCCAGGGATGCCCATGGCTCCGATGGGTCAAAGTGGGATGCCGGGCATGCTTACCCCACAACAGCAGATGGCATTGATGCAGATGTATGAGCAACAAGCTCATATGATGCAGCAGATATTTGCTGGTCAGACGCCTGCGCCGTATATCAACCCGAACTTCCCGCAGAACAATCGAAAACAGGGAAGACCCCTTCATGAACGCGTCGACAAGTCAAGACAAGGCAACAAACAGTCCCTCCCTCCATCTACCAAGTTCACAAAGAACGACGGGCAAGACGAGACCATGACGGACAGTACGCCCGCTGGAGATGGTTCTGCAATGGAGGTTGAAGGAGGTAGGCCGGACCCGTTCCAGACGATGTGCAAGTTCAACTTGCGGTGCGGCAAGCCCGACTGCCCCTTCGCGCATCAGTCGCCCACAGCACCTGAAGGGACCCCACTCGATATGAACGACACTTGCAGTTTCGGTGTCAAGTGCACGAACAAGAAGTGCGTTGGCAAGCACCCCTCACCGGCACAGCGACAGCAGTTCCAATCGGAACAGGAGTGTGCATTCTGGCCGAACTGCCGCGATCCGGTCAACTGTCCCTACAAACACCCGGAGGTTCCTCCCTGCCGCAACGGAGCTGACTGCACCACGCCCGGCTGTAAATTCTGGCATACATCGGTCATGTGCAAGTACAACCCATGTACCAACTTCCGATGCCCGTACAAGCATGTCGAGGGTCAAAAGAAGACTTTCAAAGATAAGGTGTGGGTGGCCCCTAAACCTGGAGATGAGCAAAAGAAGGAGCATGTGAGTGAGCGGAAGTTTGTCGAGGACGACGCGGAAGAGGAGCTCATCATCCCTGGGAAGAACAGTGATGATGATGTGGTGATCACTACATGAGGGTCGACACGCTATCAAGATGCAAAAGAGGGTCAGGGTTTGCAAAAGTTTTAGGCTAGGATGATGAAGCACAAGACTTGTAATGTATCATATCTTCGGGCTATTGCGCCTGGGACGGAACTTGGCGTTAACGGCACGTTCTCTGAGACAGCATATCATGGTTACCGATGTGGAGGAGGGCTTCTTCATGTTTTGGGTATACCTCGGAATGAACAATGGTTTCACGGTCTTTTGCGCCGCTATTTTCATCCCTTTCAAGATCTTCTCCTCGGATCATATGCTATGCTGTGAAGTCTAATCTCATGTCGCATTCCAACAATCGTCAACCATGAGGCTGGAGCTTGTGGTCAGGCCCTGTTGCTGTTCACAAGCCTCCGGTAAATACATCTACAGGGCTATCTCAGTGTTGGCCCGTGCGTGGGATTTTACCACGAGCGTCATTCAGGTTGACCAACACAACTGGTGCTTCTTTAGGACAAACCTCCCCTTGCCCAACGAATTACCGTGCAAACGCGGCAATGGTGCTCAAGAGACATGCCTCGTCCCTTGAGTCACCATTCAAGCGCACCTCGGTGCGCCCGCGACTACCGTCACGATGTCCTCTTTGCAGCTATTCCACGAGAATGCCCAGGGAACCCAAAACCATTGCCATATTCGGAGGTGGCATATCCGGCCTCTCGAGCGCCTACTTCATCGCCAAGCGGTTTCCGAATACCAAGATCACAATTTATGAGGCCAAAGAGAGGTTAGGGGGCTGGATGCAATCACAGCGGGTGGTACTTAATAAGGATTCACTTAATGGGCAACGGATATTGCTTGAATATGGACCTAGGACGTTACGGACGGGCATTCTAACACTTCCTACGCTGCAACTGGTGAGTTTGGCAATGAAATCTTTGCTTATCTGTACTTATAGGTATTCTAGATTGATGACCTGGGACTGCTCGACGACGTCCGTACCACTTCCAGAGAAGCGGCCGCCTCGCAATCGCGCTATATATTATACCCCAGAAATCTCGTTCGACTTCCGTCGCCTGGGCCGCCAGACTTCCTTCTCCTCTGGCACTTATGGGTCTCGGGGCTGCTCAAGGGCATACCCACACTTTTGATGGAGCCGTTCCGGAAGGGTCGACCGGAGGATCAGAGGGACAAAGACGAATCAATCGCCGACTTTGTTGCCCGCCGCCTGGGTAGAGATTATCGAGTGGCCGACAATCTCGTCTCGGCGGTGATACATGGCATCTATGCAGGAGACATCTACAAACTGAGTGCCAAGGCAATACTGCCGCAAATATGGCACTTGGAGCGTTATTATGGCTCTGTTTTGGAGGGCCTGGCGAGACTTAGGGTAGGGGTCAAGGAGCTCACTGACAGAGGCATATTTTGTACTGCACTTTCGCGGTATGACTGGGATACCATCAATCACATGATGAGAGATATGGACTTGGATCTGCGGGTTTTGGAACGATTGTCTGTAAGGGAAACAGCGACGTATACTTTTAAGGAAGGCCTGCAGCAGTTGGTAACCCGACTGGAAGATGAGCTGCGCAGGAAGGAAAACGTGGAAATCCTCACACAGACACGGGTTTCGGACTATCACTTAAACGCCAACAATCAACTTGAAGTCACATCCTCTGTACGTATATGCCGCTATACCACATGCATCGCAATGACTAGTGGACTGACCAACTCCTGCCAGTCCAAGACCAGTAACGGTAGGAACCGTACATTTGACTTCGCCGTCTCGACCCTCCCAAACCCCTCAGTTGCCCCGGCAGTCACTGTCATGACAGTCAATCTCTATTATACAAACCCTCAGGCAATCGAGAAATGGCGCCTCGGTTACACAGACAGAGAGAAATCCGATGGCTTCGGTTATCTTATTCCCAGGAGCGTGGACTTGAAGGAAAACCCCGAACGCGCCCTTGGTGTCGTTTTCGACCACGATGCTACGCAGAATCTAGACCAGGTGCGTGGCACTAAACTCACAGTCATGTTAGGAGGGCACTGGTGGGACGGTTGGAGAGAATTCCCCGATGAGAAGGAGGGAGAGACAATGGCCAAGAGTATCGTTAAGAGACACTTGGGCATCACGGAAGAGCCCGATCTATGTCATGTCTCACTTCATGAGAACTGCATCCCGCAGTATACGGTGGGGTATGAGGACCGCGTCCGTTCAGAGGGATCCCGATTGGCGGATTTGTACAAGGGGCGTCTATGGGTTACTGGAAACCACTACAACGGTGTGGGTGTTAACGATTGTATCCGCGGGGCGTACCTGTTAGCACAGGATATGGAAAATGGGGGTTGGCTGGATGACAACCATAGGATTGGTCTACGCAAGTTCTACGATAGTGGCGAGTGGTTCATGGGACCCAATCAGTTCGCACTGGAGAGGACGCTGTTTGGGTCTGAATTGCCGAAGTACGAGTTGGCCAGCCTCGGGCAGTAGGGCTGGTAAAGGTCATTGAGTGTGCGTGTTTGATGGCTTCAGGTTGAGGTGGAGTGCACTAAAAGTGACACTACATCGAAGAGAAAGATTTAAGCAAATGCGCTAAGAACTCAATTCACATATCTAACAACTAGTCCTTCACCGCGTCTATACGTTCGAAGGCCTTCCAACATGTCCAACCATACACAAGCGGCCTCTGACCCCCTACTATCCTTCTTTCTCCCTTCCACCATCGCCGCTTCCAAAATCGGCGTCAATTATGCAGGATATACTGTGCTCTAACTCATATTCCGCGCTACGAGGACACATATGGCTTGAATTGAGAGTCGCTCACGCAACAGAAAAACTTGCGAAAATCGGGCTCTCACAAGGGTCTTTCTCCGTAGTTCTTTTACTGCAGCGCATTTTCATCGAGTGATGGCTCATTTTGCCTACCGTCTACTAACCAACAAACGAGAGAACAAGACTTTATCGCATATTCAAATGTGGAGTTGAGTTTACGATGAGATCTACTATATGGCGGGCGAACCTGCAGTGTACGGACGCTCTTGCTTCACTGAAACAAACCTCCAATTCCACTGTTTCCTTCATTCCCAGCGGGGCGCTAGAGAGGCCCTTCTCTTTTCGGTATCAACTTTCGACACTTCGTCGCCTGAATGAGCGTCTAGCCCGGAGACATCACTTCACACTGTGGCAGTTTTCCAAATCAGCTGGAAGACTCAGTGGTCTGGAGTCCCCCTTGATATTTCTAACGTCAACTCTGCCATTCTCTCACCGGCATGTTGTCTTTCGTCACGCCGAAGAAGAGGAAGGATGCCCACAACGCGAGTCCACAGTTTCTGAGTAAGGGTAAAGTTCGCGTCGTCGAACACCCTGGAGGAGACTGTACGCAAAACCAGATTTCGCCCCGCAAGCCTTTTGGACTCCTTTCGAATTTGCCGAGCAATCTTGGTTTATTGAGTTTCCGAGGTGGAGGGGTGAAAATCCTCTCCGTCTTCCGCAATGGCAAAGGTATATATCCTCATCGTGCGCATCTTGACCGTGGCTAATCTTGCCAGGCTCCGGAGCGAGCTCCCCTCCTACCAGTGTTCCTCCTAATACTCCCGTTTCAAGCCGATCCGACGCCACTGAGCGAAGAATCGTAGGCGTTGTTGAAGAGGAACCCGCACATCATCTCTTGCGCTATTCGAACGCTTCTTATCTTGGGATTCCCAAAGTCCGGCCTTCCCTGCACAGGAACATGAGAACATCGTCGTCAGCTCGCCCTACAGACGCGCTCACTTACGATGGAGAATTGGGACCTGGGATGCGACAGGAACTTCCACGCCCGAAGTCACTACACACGTGCAAGTCTACACCTGGTTTAGCCAGGCAGCATTCTACTCGTTCTTCTCACGTCTTGCTTCAAGATAATACCGTCATCCACCGCCCCAGACTGCAGAAAAGACCCCCGATTCCGGACAATATTCTCCAACCGCCTGGAGACAATGTTCCTGGTGCCTTATTGACAGACATTCCGTCCCGACCCTCGCCGCCTTCAAGCTTTACGGGAGGTAATATTGTGCCGTTCCGTTCTCGGTCAACTGCTCCTTCTTCCATTGCGTCGTCCGGACCGGTACCGTCAAGTGCTCCCAAGTCCGGTGAAACACATCAAGGAGGCGACAAACGGAACGCACTCTTGTCAACAGGGGTTACGGCTGCTTTTGGGGCAATGTCTAAGCGGGTTGGGCCGGACACGCCGCATTTCTCACGCAAGGATGGGCCAAGGATTGCTTCTCCATCGATCGCAACGGTGGAAAAAGCAGTTGCTACTAAGATCTTCTTGGAGTCGCACTTCAACCATCTGCTCAGCACAGATGTGACACCTCGATCTATGCGGCGAAGAAACATGGAGCGCAATCTCCCCACATTGGGTCTCTCCCGCGAGCAGCAACATCGTCGGAGACAGGAATGGTACGCCAATGAGAGTTATAACCTGCGAGAAATGCGGGTTTTGAAATCGAGAACCCTGGCCCGTCAGAAAATGAAAGCGGTCGCTATGTCAAACTTCGAGATTCTGAGGGTGCTTGGTAAAGGAAGCTTTGGTGTAGTTAGACTTGTCCGTGAGAAGAGCGATCCTACCGGTGAGTCGACCATTGGCGCATGCGAGCACTGGGGTGGTTACGATGGTCCTCCGAGCATCCGGAAGCACCCAAGATTCGCAACGCAAAAGAAAGAGAAGCGCGTCTATGCGATGAAAGTCATCCGGAAGTCTGACATGCTCCGTAATAGTCAAGAAGGCCATCTCCGAGCTGAAAGAGATTTCCTCGTCGCTTCAGAAAATTCACGATGGGTCGTTCCTCTAATTGCCAGTTTTCAGGACAACCACAATCTGTACCTCGTGATGGAGTACCAGGTTGGTGGAGATTTCCTTGGATATCTTCTACGAGAAGATGTCCTCGATGAGGCCGTGGCGAAGTAGTACGTCGCCGAAATGATACTTTGCATTGAAGAAACGCACAAGATGAACTGGATCCACCGCGATGTCAAACCGGACAACTTCCTTATATCTGCTTCCGGGCACCTCAAAATTTCCGACTTTGGACTATCCTTCGATGGACATTGGATCCACAATCAAACATACTACAATGAGCACCGCTACAGCCTGATTCGCCAACTTGGTCTCATCTCCACCGTGCGCGGAGACGAACAGGATTGTGCAGAGGAGCAGGAGAAGCAGGAGTCAAAGCCGACCGTGAACTTGGTTGACCGGGGACACACTGGAAGAGAACAATTTCAACCTGGGATAGGCGAGGTGAACGGCCCGGTTCTTGACTGGTTAAATCGAACGCAAAGACGCCAGCTCGCAAGAAGTGTCGTCGGCACTAGCCAATACATGGCACCAGAGGTAATCAGAGGCGAGCTGTATGATGCACGGTGTGACTAGTGGAGCATCGGCATTATTCTCTATGAGGTCCGTATTGGCGTCTTACTCAAGGTCTGAAACTGATATTCATAGTGTTTGTACGGATGCACGCCCTTTTTTTGTGATGACAGACAAGATACAAAGGCCAAGATACTCGTAAGACTTGAACAACCGGTGTATCCCTCGACACGCTAATGTGAGCAGGAACATCGGCGCTGGCTACGCTTCCCTCAAGGACAACGATACGCTCGGCCAAGGTCTGATTGTTCTGCCCTCATGCCGGTATCTTTCTATGCCATGGATCTTATCATGAGGCTTTTGGAGTCCAAAGAGGAAAGGCTATCATGCAAACGTTACAGGGAGAATGACCAAACCATGCTGAATAAGGCTCTACGGACACGAACGATCTGGAACTTACACACTTGCCAGCTGGTTTTCCCGAACGACGCGGAGGATATCAAGCGCCACCCCTTCTTTCGCAATATCCAGTGGTCCATCTTGCACCTGACACGTCCACCGTTTATTCCCCGCATTTACGGAAATCAGCCCATCGATAAATTCTTTGACGACGAAGCGGATATCTTGAGTGGATCCGACCACCTCGACTCGTCAAGCTTGGAAATTTCTAGGAAATCGCAAGCTCTCAATGAAAAAAGCTTCTCTACAACCACTCCTGTAGATTGTGCAAGTAATCACCCAAGCCCGGTGATCCAAGTATTGGAAAAGGCAGCGGGAGATGTCAAGCGTCAAGAGAAAGAAAACCGGGCCCGAGACAAACTCCTCCGGGATCCGCAAGTAGGCCGCACTGTGCTAGAGATCAGAAAGAGAGGCGCCTTCATAGGGTACACCTACCGTAGACCACAGTCCACGCTGGCCGCATAGAGGGGAGTATTTCCGATAGTGCCTAGACGCCGAGATATCCCAAGTTTGTGTCAGTGGCGAGACTTGGCACAGTGATGAGGTCGTGGAAGTTTATTCTTAGCTTGGTGTACTGCCTATATGGTTCTTTCCCTACCCTCTTCAGCTCATTATATTGGTCCGATGGACATCCTCATCCTCGCCAATAGATCTTCTCTTTACTGATATGGTCAATGTGGCTGCCCGTCCATGGCCCTTGAGAACGGTAACGCGTCTGCCACTGGCATTTCCAGAATTTTGCTACCTTCCCACCGTCGAATATTTCTAAGTCAACTTTAATTTCTACTTGCTGATGTTCAACATCTATCCCTCCTTCACCAATCATGCACAACTTGCCCGCACATACTTCGTCCTGATTAGCCGGCGCCAGGGTTCCAATAACCCGCGTATAAATTTCCGACTTGACCACTCAGAAAACTCAGAGCATTTACCAAGTAAATGAAAAAATCAAGATCGCTCTCACGTACATCCGGTTTTCCAGCAATGATGATGGTGGGGCCTCGTGGTCCCATTGACCTCGTTATTAATATACCCTCCGAGGTAGCGAAGGTCGCGAACGGGTACGATGAGCCCGGTACTAATTTCGCAGATTGGAACCAAGGAAGTTTTAAGAAAAGATGTGGAGGGGATTACTTTACAGGTGGAGAGATGTCTAGGCTCTAGAAGAAGCTATATAGCCCAATATCCTCCGATTACACTCTTTTTCAAATTGCTTTCGGATCGGAGCTGTTCGACGACCTAACCAGGGATATACAGCAGACATGCGCCTAACCTCTCTCATCATCACCGCCCTTCTCGCGCCTCTCGGTGGGCTCGCAGCTCCCCTTGCTGCCGACAGCATCGTCACGCTCGAGGCACGCCAGGGAAACTGCCCTCCGAAGCCAAAGCCATGCGTGCGCATCGTCCCTGATCCCACACCGCAGGAGTACAAGGCGCGGTTCGAGCAGTTCGCCGAGGCTTTCATCTACAAGAAGAATATCACTCGCGCTTTCGAGTTTATCACCCAGGACTACATTGTGCGTCCCTTTCTTATTCCCTCCATCTCCAGACTGTGCACTGACTAACCTTTCATTAGAACCACAACCCCATGGCCCAAAATGGCTTCGATTCCGCCTGGGGCATTCTTTGCGGTATCTGGAATAACCAGAACCTGACGCCGCTGCGCACGCTGTACCAGCATCCGATGGGTCGGGTCAATTATAGGAGTGGGTTTGGAACGATTATTGATCGGTTTAGGTGGGAGGGAGGCTGTATTGCTGAGCATGTAAGTTTTGCAACTTCCCGTGCGGTGGTGTAGCGGAGAGGTTGGAAGTGCATATTGCTGACTTTATGTAGTGGGATTCGGGCGAGAAGTGGCCAACGAACACGACCGCGGATCCCGCACTATAGGTGGGAGATGGTTGAAGTCCGGGGCAATGAAGTGCCGGAGATTTTGCTCGATGAGTTAGCAAAGTCGAAGCATAGCCTGCATATATTGCATACAAACGCAATCGAGGGGGGGTGAACGCAGAATTGGTCCTACGGAAATGAATGCGATACTTTGAATTGATTCGAAACCATACGAGACGCCTGCTGACTACCCTGCTCCATCTTTCACTTTGTCCCCGATACGAATTTTGCATCATTATTCATAGGCGGCCCATCGTTGCTCTCGACATTGCCTTCGCCGACATCGCTGTCGACATTCAGACTTCTGGATTGTGACCCGGGCAGCTCTGCTACCGAGCATGATCCCTCCATCTCATATGGCATATGCACCAATTCTCCGTTTGTCGTCTTCTCCGTGACCGGCTCTGGGAGGTCCTCTCCACCACTGGCATCCTCGCGCGGAACGCATCGCTCCTTTCGTCGGCTCGGCTCCTCTACAAGAGGACTGCTGCAGCTAGGGCTAAAACTGTAAAGTTTACGACGCCCGCCGCTATGCCCCCTTTCTGCCCTGCGTTTAGCGGGGGTGTAGTTGATGTAGTTGTTGTAGGACTCGGCATGTCGCCGGATATCGGGGGTGTGGTGGGAGAGGCAGAGCTGCTTGAATTCGTCGCCGTAGCCGCACCAGTCGGCATTGTGATTGCTTCAGGGTGGATATACGTGAAAAGTGGATTGTCGGTTGATACTGCGCTCTTGATGTCCCGGCCATTTGAGGAGCACTCCGCGGAGAGAGAGGCAACCCATTCTGTTAACGTGAGCACACGCTGCCTCAAGAGAAGAACGAAAGGAAGGCGTGACATACCTGATATTACAGCCGGTCTGCAAGTGAGACCTATACAGCTCGGAAAGTATTTGAGCAATTCCTTGGTGAACTTTTCGCTTTTACAGACGCAGGTGAGGTTCAACGCATCGCAGGGCGTTTCCGTGCTGTTGGGCTCGCGAAGTATCCAGCTCACGCATTGTGAACTCTTCTGCCTGCTTGCTACCCTTCTTTTCTATTTGTTTCTCGCGGCTTCGAATGGTTGGCGTACTATACATCCATCAATAGCGTCCCTGGGGAAGCTCATTCTGTAACTTCGCTGCACAGGACATATACTTGTTTGCTCTTCAGTCATCAGTCGATGCCTATGTTGGATACTTGATAATAAGAAGATACATAGGTAGAGTGGACGTCCTCGTCAATGAAAGCCAAATTGCGAGAAAGCAGCGCGAAATTGGAATGCATTCTTTGCCACACATAACCTGCTCCTCCTTGCCACTCAAAGTCAACACAGGAAGCTCTGTCACTCAAAACGTTTACCGGCCAAGCCCCCCGGTCAATGTAGTTTCTGAAGGCTTCAGACCACAAACGTGTGTGGGAAGACAAGGAGCACGCATAGTACCGTGTGCGAAAAGTTGTTAGCGGGTTGTAACACTTAGACGTCTGCAACCGTCACCAGCAATGAATGCTATTGGCTTACTATTTCTGCAACGTGCTACCGCAAATGCACAACAGGGAACTGTAATGTCGCAACTTAATCTCGTCGAGTTGTTTTTGTAGTGCAATCCCATGTCCACCTGACCGATGGGCAATGGAGCGACCTCGCATTTTTTGTGCACTAGGCACAGTCATACTGGCAGAATCAGCTGTAGCAATGAGTTTCGCGTTGAGTTATGAAATTTGATCAATTTACGCTAGCCCGATAGACCTGCAGTTGTATCCCCTACTTTCGTACAGCTATCTCCACCATTGACAATCTTCGACGCACCGTACATCTCCTGCATCGTCCCGTTCCCGTCCAGCTCCTTAATCCCCGGTCTAGGGCAACCCCCTGCATCCATCTCTACAACGGCATGTCCTTCCACACCTAGTTCAACAATCTCCGCGTTCTGCTTCTGCGCAGAATCGCACGCTTCAGGAGACTTCTTTACTCTTTTCCTCCTTATCCTCCACCATAGAATGCCTACGAATATCGCCAACAGTAGTATCACAGAGACAGCAGATATAATGGCGAATTTTGCATTCCCATTCATGCTCGGCTGAGACGAAGAAGAAGGTTTCGCATCCAACTCCGGAGGCCGATCCGAATTGGACTCAACAATCGACATATCCGTAGTCGTAACCAGTCTTTCCACCGTCGTTGCCGCCGTGATTGTGTGCAACGCCAGGGAACTCGCCGTGGTTTGCATATCCAACAGTGTCGAAACTCCGGAAGACCTCCAAGATAAAGCTTCCGTTGCCGTAACACTCGCTGGTCCTGCCTCCGAAATAGATAGCTTCGATGACGCTGGCAATGGCTCCGGGGACGACCAAGCCACCGGCTCGCCGATGAAGGTGCTTGGTTCTGGCGAGGACGTAGCTACAGGGTCTCCCATAAAGGTGCTCGGTTCGGGCGACGACGTAGCTATAGGGTCGCCCATGAACGTCTTGGTTTCTGGGCCTTTGTCGTTTGGCCCCGGGGATTTCTTTCGTCCTCTGGAATGCCCAATTGTTGGACTCGTCTTATCCAGCATGACGGACTCTGAGTGCAAGCTCACGGAGCAAAGTCCTGCTGAAGCTGAAGCTATGATTTCTGCGAGCCGTAGCGTTACGGGAACGGATCTCGAGGGTCTCGGTGTACGCGACGAAGCCTCAGGCGCTCCAGAAGCAGATAAGCACTTCAAGGAGTAGCGAGGCCCATGCGAGATATAACCTCCAAAGTGACGGACGGAGGGGTGAGTCTTTGTTGGCAGAGACCGATTTCGAGTTCGTTGAAGAGCCTAGGATGGCACTATATAACTGCGCTGATGTTAACAAAGTAGCGCTTCAGTGAGTGTAGGGAGGTCGCGTGCACTCATGAAAGTTAAGGGACATTGTTAGACCTTTTGTGGACGTATGCAGGAGTTGAATCAGACAGTAAAGCCAGTGGGTCAAGGATGCCAAAAGGTCGGGCTGTCTTTTGTGTTCATGGGAAGTAGTACTACAAAGGTACGACAACCCATCACAGTCCGTTCGTTACACACAACAACAAGCCATCGTTCCTAATAGGCTCTTCGGATTTGAACGTATGCATTCACCCGTCCAAAGCCCAACAGCCACGCATGCTCGGTGTAACGGATTGTCCTTTTTCTCTCAACGACGGACGCAGTCTCATTATGTTTGCAAACCGGCGGAAGAAGATTGGAGGTCACTTCGCCAACTCCAAACGATATTATTCTAGCAAGAGGGGGAGCTTGGCATGCAAGTGCTTCAGGACAGAAAAGACAAGAATAAACAATGATACATATAAGGCCCTTTCGACAACAATGGACTTCCCCCCAATTTCGGATTTAACACGCCGCAACATAGTTCGCACTAGAAAGCCTCGTGTCAGTAGTCGTAGACAAGTGAAAAGTCTCCTCTCTTGAGAATTCCGCTAACAGAACAGGGAGTAGTACATGATCATCCCCATGTAGCCTCTGAACTTCGTACTTTCCTGCTCTGTATTTTCGCGAATTATTCATTTAGAACATTCTTTCATATTTCGCTTCTCCACTCAACCTTTCCAGTGGTAATACTATGCAAGTAACGCACAACACGTCGTCTGTGTTAGAATACTTTGTCGACAATCCCATCCAACCTATCTCAACATCTACTTAACAATGCATAATAGCAGCAGGACTTGACACGGCCGGCGCACTTCGTAAGAGTGTCCGTTTGATACAGAGGCCGTGCTCACACATGTACAGTCGAAGGCTACCAGCTTGCGGCATTGCAAAGGCAGCTACTCTTCTCATTAGAGATTTGGTTAGACTGTCTTTGCACTATTGGTATTATTCCCTATTACCATTACCACGATACCGCAAATAGCATGAATCCGGAACTCCAAACCGCCTACGCCATATTAATCCTTCTTCCTAAAATCCTCCTCATTCTCCCAAGCCTTACTCCCCGGAGCCAACACCAAAACAGATCGATCGCCCCTCGCAGTAAGCAGATGCAGCTCGAACTCCAGCAATCCGAACAGAACAATACGCCCCAAGCAGCAGAAAGTAAGCGACATGTGTCCTCCCTGGGGACATATTTCGCCATACAAAACCCTCCAAGAGATCACATCCACGTAAACGGCATGAGTAACCACACCCAAAGGCAGTTTCACGGAAGAGTTCCGCGTACATGTCGAGCATAAGTCCGCAGAGCTTGGAAAACCGAGTTAATCCGTCTTTTAATCGGATAGGAAAGGTGTGCGCCCTCGGGACAGCACATCTGGAGCCGTTGCGAGAGGGCGTTTGGATTTCCACATCGCACGCTCTGTCGCAAGCAACTCGGACCCAATTTCAACCAGATACTAAATCCGCGCCGTTGGCATCCGAGGATCTATTCCGGCGCCTCGCCTTCGCCAACTCCGGACTCCACAACCCAGAGAACAGATCCTCGCACTCATCCTCATCCTGGCTATCGAATTCCACTTCCTCATCTCCTCGCCCAGCCATGCCCGTCCCCATACACATCCCCGGATCAAACTCGTGCTCCCCGTCCCAGCCTACCTCTTTAACCACCCTCTTCGTTTCCAGGATAAACTTGCCGACTTTGTATTTCTGGCTCTCCTCCTCGGCATCGACGTACTTCCATCCCAACACGCTCCGGCACACCCGGCAACTGATGTCGGAAACCGTATGCGCGCCTGTGACCAGCTGTCTCGGTACGGGTTTATGCGTAGTCGTGTTCGGCAGATCGCCTACACCGACGACATCGCTCCCCGTGAGGCCAATGGCGGAAGGTGGGGAGGCGGAAACGAGATAGGCGCGGCCGTGGCGGCCGTTGAATCCTTTGCTGATGATGTTGGAGACGGGGACGAGGTCGGCGAGGCATTTGGTGCAGCGGAGGTGGGAGGTGGGGGTGCGGGAGATGTAGGAGGTTGGGCGGGAGGGAGGGGAGGTGGATGGCGGAGTTGCGGATTGGTTGGTTGCTGTGGTTGTGGTGGTGGAGGTGGAGGAGCGGCGGCGGGCGGTGAAGAAGTTGGGGATGAGGTAGTAGGGGAAGGTGGGTGGAGGCGTAGAGGAGCGTGGCATGTGGTCAAATGGTTCAATTGGGCTGTGGAGTTGAGATGGGGTTGGGGTGGTGTTGGGTTGCGGGCTCTGAGGTGTCAGAGAGTTTCGAGGCTCCGCAATGAAGACGGTAAACCGGTAGCGGCTGGATGTCCAAATTCCAGGAATACTCCGTCAGTATAGTCAATTCTGATTTCTGACCCGTAGCCTCGAAGATATGCGGTCACTTCGGATGTCGAACAAAGCAGGCTCGCCAGCGACGCTGCAAGAACAGATGGATTTAATTAGGTTGAATCGACCAGGATATTTATGACGATTGTCGCTAACCCAGACAGCAACGCCGCTGAGCAGGCGGGAATTTGACTTCCCCTCAGCCTGCGCTGCGGAGTAAAGGTGACTGCTTGTGACGTGAGGAGTTGTCGTTGCACTAGCGTCGCTGATATCCCAAAACGGTCTAAGGCGCAGCTAGCCGGAAACGGAAGAGCGGGGTTGGTGAATGAGTGATGCTGGGCGGCGAACTCCACGACACAGGATAATCCGATGGGAACCAGCAGCAGTGGAGGTCGAGAAGAAGGAGAATCGGTAGAGGCCCTTGAGATCCTGATGGTTGTCAAGTTGCCGGCGTGATCAGGTTTCGTTCATATGCCAAAGCGTGTCACAGAAGGGCACGTCACGAGGCTCGATTTCTGAGTTGGCGGTCCAACGCTGATGATTTGACCGTTCCCGCAACTTCCTATTGGCGGGGAGTTGTGTAATAAGTCACCGCTCCTAGTTGCCAACTTACGGAATCAAGGTGGAGAATGATAATACGGTAAGTATATGGGCTGAAACAGCACGCTACAGCTACGGACAGCGGTCCCCCCTATGTTTGAACTAGAGTATCAATAGTAACACTCTCACTCAGTCAAACGCCACATCACCCAAGCCTCTTTTCCGAGCCGCCTCTAGCACTCCGCTCTTAACAACACCGAGAGCCTCTCTCCATTCCTTTAGCACCTCTTCCGTCACACACGCATTTTCCCCCTCATCGCTCATTTCCTCAACAAGCCATCGCAGCCACGTCACCACTCCCACTGCCTTTGCCAAATCACCCTCTTCACTGACGACTCTTCCGAGATACCTTGCCAGAGCATCCGCATCTTCCTTATACGGCCCCTCATCCCTGTACTCATTCACCCAATGCTTCATTGCCGCTCTGAGATCCTGCTCTTCCGACAATCGCTCCTTGGTGAACGTAGGCCGCACCGGTCGTGGCACTCTGATTATCTGCTCCCTCTTCACTGGTACCTGTTCCTGGGCCGCCACAGCTGCTCCGAACAAGGGATGAGCTGCGGCAGGGACTGCAAGCCGTGAAGCTTTCAACTTCTGCCTCATGTAGTCCTCCAGCACCTCCTTCCTCAGATCTTCGGGCAGCGCCGCAAGGAACTCCTTATCCGGGCCACCTTCTACTATTCTCTCCTCCCCATCGGACTCATCATCTCCAGCACCCTCACCTCTTGCAATCTGTTCCGCACGAGGAAGAATGAAATTTGCTTGCGTGAGCGTTTGCCCTGTCTTTCCGCACTTGGCCGTCGCCGCAGCTGCAGCAGTCAGCTGCGCAGACCTGGGCGGTCGACCCCGTCCGCGTTTGACAGGTGGGACAATGGGTTTCTTGGAAGGAATGCCGATCAGTTTATTCTTACGAGGAGACTGTGGGAGCACCGTCTGATCGGCCTGTCTTCGATGAGGGGAGCGAGCGGGCGAGCCTGGCGTACCACCAGCCGCGTATTGCGCAAGAACCTCTGCGCGGACGTCGGGAGGCAGGGCGGCGAGGATCTCGGGGTCCAGCTGTGAGTGTGCTGGAAGTGCAGTTAGGGCAAAGGGAGCTCGAGCTTGTCGTGGAGCCGGAGTTGGTGACAGGCCTCGAGAGGAGCGGGCACCAGGACGGGCATCAGGAGTGGGGTATGTTGTGTGACTTTGGCGGAGAAGCTTGGATCGAATGTGTTCCGGGAGTTCTGCGAGGACTTTGGGGTCGACCTGCGAGGGAAGGAGGAATTGCGTCCCCAGTGTGTTGAGAGGACGACGCGAGGGAGTGGACTGATTGAGCGCAGTTGCTCCAAAGGCAACATGATCCGTGCCACCATGTTTCGGCTTCTTTGGGGTTTCGGGATCGTCCTGGATTGGATCTGCTTCTACCGCCTTCGGAGGCTTGCGGGCGCTGACCGGCGCTGTGGTGTTCATCTTGAACTGAAGGCGGCGCTGTGAACTTTCTACGCTGCCGTCGGTTGCACTCTTCATCGGCTCGAGCTTCGTCATTTGTACGCCGATCCCCCGAAGTTCACCGGGAGAGAAACCGAAGCCTTTGAGAATGCTCAGCGCTTCCTTGGCTAAAACCTCCTTTGCATTCGTGGCCACACCCAAAACAAGGCTCTTGTTGAAAGTGTCGCATTTTCCATGTCCTAAATGTTTCGGGGGGTCTAGAGGCGCATCGGGGGAGCGCTTCATGACCTTCATGGTGAACTGCTTTCCCTTGACTTTCTCTTTCAAAAGGCGTTTCTGCAGCTCACCACACAAGCTCCCAATGAATTCGTCCACCTGTTCCTGATTTTCAAAGCGGACACCCCAATTGACTTCGGCTGAGACCGACTTGCGAACCACTTGTTCACCCACCTCAGTCTTGTCGATCCCACGGGAGTACTCATACAGTTTCTGGCCCGTTTTAGGGCCTAGCGCCTGTACGAGCCTCTCCTTGGTTAACTCTCTTATATCCTTCACGTATTTGACGCCGATCTCTTCGAGTTTGCCGCCGATGGACCAGGCGACCCCAGGCAAGTCTTTCACCTCCAGGCCTCCTATGAAGTCCAGCATTTCCTCGGGTTTGATCTGGTACTGCCCTGCGGGCTTCGCCTTCCTCAGTGCTAATCTGGCAAGCAAGATATTGCCTCCAATCCCTACAGACACGTTGCATTCTGTCTTTTGCTTGACTTCATTGCGCAACGCCTGCGCAATCTCCTCTGCTTTTGTTTGCTCCCTGTAAACGCTGCCTTCTGACATGTGCTTCCCATCACTGCCACCCGCCTCTATACATGCCGCAGACACGTCGATCAACGCCTCGTCGATGCTGACACTCTGGACTACACCATCCGTCGCCAAGATAGCATCGTAGAATGCTCGACTGGCCTCTTCGTAAGCGGGGAAATCATAAGGCAACACTTTCAATTCCGGACAAAGTTCCTGTGCTCTCTTCATCCACATTCCATTTGAAATGCCGAATTTGCGAGCCGCGTAGTTGCAGCTTGCAATTTCGGAGCCACTGCCAGTACCGTGCGCAACCACAGCAGGTTTGTCCTTCCATTCGGGATGATTTTTAAGACTGACGGCTGCAAAGAAGCTATCGAAGTCGACGTGCAAGATGTATCGTCTCGCCCCAGGAGGTCTCTTCGCTTTACTCTTTGCTGACGAGATCTTTTCGTTGGCGAGGGCTTGGAGCTGCGATTTCAGATCAGCTTTCCATGTAGAGAGATGATGAAGCCGAGACTCTCGGTAGTATTGCTCGAGGAAGTTCGGGTCCACTACAGTCGATTTGCGGATCTTGGGATCGCGCAGGAGAATGGCGTTGTGCTCCTCGGCGGTAAGTTCGCGCTTCCTTTTAGGGGATCGCACACTGCCTTGTTCTGAAGGGAGACTCTCGACATCTTTCTGGTCCGGGCTCAATGTCCCGGCGTTCGTTTCACGTGGGATGGTGGGTTCCGCGTACAAGGTATCATCCTCCTCGTCGAGTGCAGCACTTTCTGAGTTGACACGAACATCCTCTTGCAGTTCCAAAGGTGGACTTGTTTTCGGTGGCGTGACAAGGCTTTCGACTCGTGCAGGCGTTGTGCTGTCGCCTCCGACATAATCCGACTTTCCGTCACTTGAAACTAGCTCAGGTTGGTGGGACGGCGGAAGAATATCCTCCTCGATTTCATCGTCTGGCGAAGGAAGCCTCTGTTTCGAGAAGCGTAACCGAAGGCTACTGTTCGGCGTGGCATCCCGGCTGTCTCGCAACTGGCTTGTATACCAGCTTGATTCCGTCTGCTCCCTGTAGCCCCTCATCCTGACATTCGTTTGCGTGTGCACATGTCGTTCACTCAAGGCGAGCACCTTCTGTTTCTCACCCTCGTCCACCACACGGTAGTCATTCCATGGAAGTAGTCTTCCCGCTGCTATGCTGTCCACGATCCATGCAGGTTTAACTATGCGGTACCTTTTGAAGTCCACTGCCTTCTTTGGCGTGAGGCTGCTGGCGATGATATGTGTCACTGCAGTCTTGCCGTCCAGATATTGTAGGAAGCCTCCACCATGTTGCACAATCAGTTTGTGGAGATCGTTGAGGGAAGGCTGGGTGTAGCCGTTGACATGAGCCACAACACCCTTGAAGAGGGCAGGCTTGTCGACACTTTGGGCTCGTATATCGGCATCGAGATTCTGCAACTTCAGCTTCTTCCGTCTGAAGTAGTCTCCAAACCCTCCAAACGTCGAACCCTCGTACTCCTCTCCGTCCTCATCGTCGAAGGTATGGCTGGCGATGCGCTTGCGGACAGCATCCGAGTTGCGTTCCAGGCGGGAACCCATGGCGTCATCGGGTGCTGGCTTGCTTGGTCAGATGGGGGATCGAGTAGGTTCATCGAAGATATGGTCATGATGCGACAGACAGATCTGAGACGGACATGGTCAGGATATAACATCCAACAGACGGTTATGTCTCGACGTAAAAAGGCTGATGAAATGCGACGCGTGAATCTTCTCAGCAGTCGCCCCACGCGTCGCGGTGTCAGCTGGTGTGGGCTGGCACAAATATGGAGATCTGCCAAGACCCCTCACCGCCCTCAGCCTCGCAGCAAGCCCGACCCGAGCGACCCACAATTTTTCTTCGCAGCGGATACCAGAATCTTGGCAATGCGGCCAAAGTTTTGAGCTTCCTTTACCCTGGCAGCCCTCGATTTCTTCTTCCTTTCTGCCAACAAGTTTCTGCACAGCCGCTTTGACGTGCGCACCACGCTCTCTCTCGTACTAGGGTCTCACAGCAATCTTTGCAACGTCTGTTCCCTTCTTTTCCTCCCTATCTACCCTGAAAACATCCACATAAAAATGGCTGCTATGCTTCCCGCGAGCGTCTATGGCCTTCGGGTCCCCGCCGGCGGATTCCCCGTTCCCGGCGCCCAAAAGTTCCCTGCCTCTGTAAGTCCCTTTACCTCAGGTTGCGCAACTCAAAAAGCATCTCTTGAAGTGTTGGAAACCTTCACGAACATTTCCGGCAATGTCGGATCGAGTGCGGATCGCGCAATTGACAGCCCGCTAATCAGCAACAGTTTCGCATCACCATGGCCGCCATCGATCCCACTGCTGAACCGCAGATGGACGAGGAGAACAAGGCTTTGCGTTCGACCCTCAAGATCATCCGTCTCCCCATGAGCGAAGACGACGAGGACGATGAGGATGACGAGGACTACGATGAAGACAGCATTCAGGCGATCAAGGAACGCTTGAAGGGAATCATCTCTGATGAGGAGGATTCTGAGGAGGATAGCGAGGACGAGAAGAACGGCGGTCCTAGTGATCCCGCCAAGTCCAAGAAGGCGAAGCAGGCAGCTCTAACCAAGAAGCTGCAGGAGGAGCTCGATGAGGAGATGGAGCTTGACTCCTCCTTCACGAACGGCATCAATGGCGCGAGCTCCAAGGGCAAAGGCAGGGCTAACGACGACGACGAAATCGACAGTGAGGAAGAGGACGATGAGGATGATGAGCCGGAAGAGTTTGTGATCTGCACTCTGGACCCCGAGAAGGTGAGTCTTCTTGCTATAAAAACCCCAGACTAGGTTCTGACTTCGTTCCAGAACGCCCAGCAAACCCTCGATATCACTGTGGGTGAGCACGAGCATGTCTATTTTTCGTCCACAGGCACGTACGACATCTACCTCACCGGAAACTATGTCTTGCCTCCCGATGAGTTTGGCGAGGGTTCTGAGGAAGATGAGGAAGACGACGACATGGACTATGATCTCTCGCCTGATGAGGATGAACTCGACGACATCTCCGATTCCGAGGAGGACGAACTTGATGGCATGGGAAATCCTCGTATCACCGAGATTGACACTGACGAGGAGGAGGCACCCAAGTTGGTTGAGGCTGGCAAAAAGGGCAAGAACAAGCGCCCGGCCGAGTCCGAGGATGAGGCCAACCTTGATGACATGATCACCAAAAGCAAGGAGGCTGCCACGAATGGCGACAAGTTGAGCAAGAAGCAGGCGAAGAAGCTCAAGAAGAACGACGGAGAGGCTGCTCCCGCAGAGCCTGCAAAGAAGGAGACGCCGAGCAGCGATAAGAAGAAGGTCCAGTTTGCGAAGAATCTTGAGCAGGGCCCCACTGGCTCGCCCAAGGTTGAGGAGGCGAAGAAGGCAGAGCCCAAGAAGGAAGCGCCCAAGACTGGTCCTCGCAATGTCGGTGGTGTTCTGGTTGAGGACAAGAAGCTTGGCAAGGGTCGGGCTGCTAAGAAGGGCGACCGCATTGAGATGAGGTACATTGGCAAGCTGAAGAATGGCAAGCAGTTTGATGGTATGTCCATGTCTCCTCTCTTACCACGAACGCTATGCTAATACCTGTACAGCCAACAAGAAGGGGAAGCCGTTCTCCTTCAAGCTCGGCGTCGGTGATGTGATCAAGGGCTGGGACATTGGTGTTGCTGGCATCTGCCCCGGAGGCGAACGTCGCCTGACGATACCCGCCAAACTTGCCTATGGAAGCAAGGCGCTTCCGGACATTCCTGCCAACTCCGACTTGATCTTCGACATCAAGTGCATATCCGTTAGCTAAACTCATCGCTTGTCGACCGCACCGACCGTACACTAAAGGCCCACCTTCCTCATGTAACGACTAAAGTTGATGTACCCCACTCGTGCGCATTCGGCCCGCACAGCATGCGGTATTCGACTTGTCTGCGCCTATTTCCTATTTCCTTGACTGATTTTCCTCAAATGCATGGCGTTTCGAGATATCCGACTTGCATGATTCTTTGTTCGTTTCCTATGGAACTTGTGCAGGGAGGATGGATCTCTCGTATCATGCATTTCCCGTGTGTTTCCTCTCCATCTTGGGTTCACGAAGAGGGGGTATAGCGAGGCGGCTCTACATATTATGTAATGTGTCGCCGAGGATGCTATACCGTGCAAAAAAGTGTGGCGTTGATAGTGTATGTACTGAATATATTCTCATTGTCTGTACTCACCATTTGTATGTCATGCCTGGCTTCTTTTCACATACAGTAGACAGCACCAGGTACTGCGGGACGACACCCCGGAGCAGTTCCTTGCCGTACTGTGTACTGTGGTTGCCGGCGTAAGTAGTCAATGTGGGTCCGGAGGTTGCAGGGGTGGTGTATTATGCTTAGTAATTCATCTTATATGTATAGTTTTGTTATCTAACTAGAACAGAGAAGATAGCTTATTGAATAGGCTAGTACTTCGTATGGCCGCTCTGAGCAGCTATCACTGCGTCACACCTAGCCGACATGCTATCTGTTAGAGCATCAAGATCCTCCTCAGAAATCGCATTCCATGCCTCCTGTACAGCTACCCTCAGTTCATCATAGGAAAACCTGTGATCAGAACCCCATTTCTGTTCAATATAGTCTTTCATCATGCACCAGACTGTCTCTATGGGATTAAGATCTGGGGAGT